TTTTACAGTTATTACTTTGACTTTAGTTGGATTTGACTCAAGTATAGGGTTCAAGTTCTGTTCGAAATTGTAAAGTAGTGTACCTTTGGTTTCGAAACACCTTTCTCTTTGCTTTACATCCTAGTATGTCGCCAATGAGTTTCAATGACTTTGACGCACACACCAAGCTGCTAGCATCGGACGCCGACTTATTAAAGGAATTTCAGGTAGGTGACAACTATCTCCCATAGCGTACTTGTTAATGCACTAGAATAGAATCTTCAGAAACCGACGGTGTGAACCGTAGACTACCCAATTTTCCCTATTCCATCTAATTTTTAGACACTGGACTACTTCACAAACCAACAGATTGACGATTATAAGCTAGCTGCCTTGATATCTGCCGCCACAACGAATCTAAACCGGTACGCGGACATGACTCCCTGTAAGTTTTTCACTAGGCCGATCTTTCGCAGTGCGGTCTGTCTGATATGCCCTCAGTTGATAGTAAAACCATGCTCGACACTGACCTTACTTTCAGTAGGAAACGCGGGAGAAAATAAATGAAAAAAAAAGGTTAGCAGTCTAGTAAAGGCCTCACAACGGAAATATCCCCCTTCAGAATTCTGTAATACGCTACTAGTAGTGGCATAGGCTATGAAGGTGCAACAGTACTGGATGTAAGATAGAAAATAAAACTCATTTAAAAACAAAAATGAAAATAGCAGGTCAAATTATTATGCCCATTTAATATATAGCAAAACGTGCGACAAATTAAAAACCGAAAATAAACGACAGAAACAGCGGCAGATAAAAAGAGGCGGGGAAGAAAACATGCAGGGTGTCTTGGGCGTGGGACCAAAACTGAATGAAATGACATGAGATGGGGTGATGTAGCACGCATTAAATTGTTGCATAGAAGATAAGGTATTCGGTGCTGAGTAAAGTGCGTATTTGTGTATGTTTAAAGTAAGAGATGAAATTAGTCAAAAATAAAAAAATGTACCTTAAAGGGAAGTTAACAAGACGAGGAAAGCAAAATATGAAAAAGATCCGAATGTAGACGTTGCCTCTCTAACGGTTGACATCGTCGGAACCATTCTTCATCCCAACAAATCCATCAGAGCCTCCTTTCTTGGGGCGACGCTGATGAGTTGAGCTGCCCCTATTCCTGTTCTACCGCTTATAT